GATTTCTCTTGGATGAGAAGCTGCACAAGTGAGTATTCTAGGACTCCAGAAATGTTCTATATCTTAATATAGGTGGCGGTTATACAGTTGTATAATATATAAAATTCATTCAAGACTTATATTTGTACATCTTATACCTGAAAAAAAAAAAAGCAAAAAGAGAGAGATATTAAATTCCCTAGTACCTAACAAAATATCTAGTTCATGGCTTATGTTTCATGATTTAAAAAAGGAGAGAGAGAAAGAATGGAATGAAAAGGTTTGACATACAGCTAATACTGTTTACACCCACTAGATTGGCAAAAAATAAAGTCTGGCAGTATCAAATGCTGGAGAGAACGAAATCAATGTGAACTCGTATACTTTGCGAATGAGAATGATACCACCAATCACTTTGGAAAACAATTTGGCATTAGCTTATAAAGTATAACATTCACATACCCTACTATCTGGCAATTCAGTTTCCAGGTGTATACCCTAGAGAAACTCCTGCCCAAGTGTACCAGGAGGTAAGTATAAGAATGTTAAGAATAGCCCTGTTTTTAATAGAAAAAACTGCAAACATCCCAAATGTCTATCAATAGTAGAACATATTCACAAATTATGGTATATTCATACAATAAAATGTATCCCACAGTGAAATGAATGAACTATAGTGACTTGCAACAACATAGATATTAGAAACTTAATACTGAGGGAAAATGGAAGTCACAGAAAAAATACAAATTGTATATGTTTATGAAGCTCAAATGCAAGCAAAATGAAACAATGTTATTTACGTATATATACAATTTTTAAAGCAAGGAAATTATAAGCATAAAATTCAGAATAATAGGAAGGGGTGGAGTGATAGGTAATGTTCTAGTTCAGAATGGATGATGAGTTCATGGGTGTTCATTATTATTCTTAACAATTTCATATGAATATTTTGTGTTAAATATATTTTTAAATAAGGAAAAAGGCAGCATAAATAAGGAGAATTTCATCTACTAAGTGTGTCAGGGTTGCCAAGGTCACCCCCAGGTTCAACGATTCACTGGAAGGACACACAGGACTCAGCACACAGTTGCATACACTGCTATGATATATAACAGCCAAAGGATACAAAGCAAAATCAGCAAAGGAAAAGGGCACATGGGGCAAAGGCCAAAGGAAACCAGGTGCAAGCTTTCAAGATTTCCCCTCCCAGAGGAGTCACATTCCTCCAGCAGGGAACTGTAACAACACTTACAAAGTGTTGTCTACCAGAAAAGCTTGCCTGAGTCTAGGAATCCAGGGTTTGTGTCAGGGCCAGTCACATAAGCACTCTTCCTAACATGTACCAAAATTTTGGACTCTCAGAAGAAAAACAAGTTTTTAGCATAAACTACTGTTTGCACAAACAGTTTTGATTCAGTGAGCCATTCTTATATGTTAGGGAATTTAGGAATCCTCCTGAAACCTAAATTTTCAGATGCCAGCCAAAGGCCAACCTTGAAAGCAGGCTTTTCAAAAGATAGCAGTCTTGTGCCTGCTGTTAACTCTCTTCTGCAGAGTAGGTAATACTGTGGCCAAAATTTGGAGTGAAACTTGAAGAAGTATGTCAAATGGAAAAGAAAAGATGGTGGAAGGGCATTAAAGGTACTGGGAACCACATGTGCAAAGGCAAAGAGCTATGAAAGGATGCCGCAGTAGGGACAAAACCACAATGCTGAAGTCCATTCAGTATGGATGGAGTACAGATGCTTAGGAAAGTATCAGAAGGCAGTGGAGAGGGAAAG